GTTGACTCTGGTGTCCCACAAGGCACTGTGCTGGGTCCATTGCTTTTCTTATGCTACATTAATGACCTGCCGTCACATGTAGCATCTACAGTGCGGTTATTCGCGGATGACTGCCTGCTCTACAGGCCTATTAAAAATGGAAGTGACCAAGAAGACCTACAGGGTGACCTGACTAGACTTCAGGAATGGGATAACACTTGGGGAATGTGCTTTAATACTAGTAAGTGCTACATCCTACGAACAAGCAGATCAACAAACCCGCACATTAAAAACTATACTCTATGTGGCCAGGTGTTAAAAGAGGTGACCCACCAGCCTTATCTTGGGGTAGAAATCCATAACAACCTGAAATTTGCCAACACATTGGCCAAATTATAACACAGGCAAACCGTTCGCTCTGCTTCCTACGCCGGAACCTGCGACGCTGTCCCCAGAAACTGAAGGAGACAGCTTTTGTTGCCCTAGTACGTTCTAAACTAGAGTATGCCAGCTCGGTCTGGGACCCCTACACTGATAAAGACAGTGATGCCCTGGAATCAGTACAAAGAAGAGGTGCAAGATTCATTTTTGGAGATTATGAATGGGACAGCAGTGTCACAGAAATGCTCAAGCGGTTGAACTGGGTGGAATTAAGTGAAAGGCGGCGATTGGCTCGTTTGGTTCTCTTCTTCAAGATTGTCCATAACATCTCAGCCATTGATGCATCAATGTACCTAGAGCCAGTTAGAAGAAGTGCAACCCGCAAAGCCAACTCTTTGAACTAGTGACACTCTTAAATACTCCTTCTTTCCGAGAACAATCAGAGAGTGGAACTTGCTACCAGAAGAAGCTGTCATCGCAGAAACCCTGGAGTGCTTCCGGCAAATTTTAAGAGACATTTAGCGGGGATCATCCATCCCCCACTGAGCGTGATACCTCTGGGTTCTGCTCAGTATTAATCCAGATCCAGCCGTGGCGCTGTGAAAAGCACGACCAATCATCTGAGCCGGCCCGGCTAAAGTAACTGGATGGCCTACCTGCCTGTCAGCCTTCCATCTGGGCACAAACTTACCTCGTGCCCTCATTGGTCATGTGCGCGTTCGTGTGTGTTGGAGGAGGGGCTCTGTGAGGAAGTGGCAGATTTTTTCCCGCTGTGTATTTTCAAATTCTAGCGCATTCGAGCTGCTTTCTCCAAAATTACCTACCCCACCTTTAACTTCTCATATATACAGAAAGAGAGGTAGTATTTGTATTCATGGTATTATTATGATGTGCGTACGCATGGGTCAAAGTTTCAATGGAGTACATTCTACCGCAAACTTAGTTTTTTTAATTGATTGCAAACTTCAAATCGGGATCTTTTGAGCATACGCAATGTTTATAAATGAGGCCCCTTGACATGTTTTTCACAATGTAGGCTGCTTGAACCTTTAGGAAATATGAAAGAGATACAAGTTAAGGATGTTCAATGTCTAAACAGTTCAATAAACTGCAGATGTGTTTAGTTTTATATGAAATCACATTCTTTCAGAGGGTTGATTTAAGGTTATTTAAGGTTTAAGGAAGAGGCTTAAAAAAAACGTCCAAACTTTCCAAGCAGAGGGAAAGAGAAGAAAGCACAACTATTAACAAAGGGATTAAAACTTGGGAAATGTGCTTGAATGGATCTTTAAGTATGACAAGACGTGCTGCATTGCATTCTGGTCCATGGTGGCAACTCTTGGTGCAGAAACTGGGTTGCGTTCCGATAGCTCCTAAATTCTAACCCTATCTCCTATTCCTTGACCTCTGAGTGAAACGTCACGGGGTTAAGGGATAGTGGATAGGAGAATTCAAAAGGACTTAGGAGAAGAGACTGCAGTACTTTAGATAATCGGAATGCACTTTCACTATCCGACGTGCGGGCGTCATAAATGCTGCGGCTGCAAGGCATTGTGGGTCAGCATTTTCTCCTCTCCTTTCGGTTAGGGAGGTCCAGTGGTTCCTAAACTAAAGGAGATTATAAAGGAAGTTTGAAACCTCCTTTCCTTTCATTTAGAGAATTGGAACGGCACTTATCATGGCTGCCACTGACGTACTTCCGGGTTATTTCACTTGGTTAAGAAGGTTCCTAAGCTAAATGGACTATTGGAACGCAACCCCGGTTTCTCTTTTAGTGATGGGAATTATGGCTCTTTGAAGGAAGCCGGATCTTATGGCTCCGTTCCTTTCAAAGAGCCGTTCAAAAGAGCCGTTTGTTTAAAGGGGGCGGGGTTACTAGGTTTATCTGCGAAATAATCACCAGGATAATGATTGACTGTATTTAATGTCAATAATCTGCATTGTAAACATAACACAAGGTGGCGCCATATCCATGTCCTTCATGTCAGTGAATGTACTTTGAATTTACCCTCTGGTATGTGTTCAGTAAATAAAGTTGCCTTGCCTTGAATGAAATTCACGCAACTCTTAATATTAGATACTGTGTTTTTAAGTGGCGATGGAGATTATTTGTTGACCCTGCTTTAAAGGATATGTTGCCTTTACAAATGGTGCGCTTTATCACTGCCTGGGTTTTGGTTGAAGTGCATCCAAATGCTGCTGCGTTTTCGCGAAAACACGTCGTCTACCTGTCCTGTACCACTTGTTATGACTTCTCCCTCTCGCGTATTCCGTTAAGACCCACCCCATCTCACTCCTCGTGCTGAAACCTACCAATCAGAGTAGGGGCGGGTCTTCACAGAATACGTTTGGGGAACAAAATCAAGCTCTTTAAAAGGCGAGTGGATTTTGGCAGGCAGTGAGTGCGGACCCACGATTAACGATAACAAGAACGGCTCTCACCAAGTACGACTCGGTTCCCCTCGTTCGAACCAAAGGGCCGTTCAATAGAATCGGCTCGTTCGCGACCGACACATCACTATTCTCTTTCTCTTCTTTGTCTTCATGTGGTCAATCAGTCATTTCAAAGAGCTGCTCAAGACACATTTGCACATACATTTGGACCAAAATAAATCCTGATGGACCATTTGGATCAAAGTCAGTTGGTTATAAAATGTGACAGCAACTCAAACACTTATCATGTTTTCATTGAGTTTTGCAAAGCTTCTCCAATGTGCTATGGTGAGGCCAGTGTACATGAGTTCAATCTCTAGGACCAATGCTACAGACTAATGTGGTTATAATGAGGTTACAGAGATATACAGATAGACCTCAAAGCTCTTGAGTCTCACAAATATGTATTGACTACCTTAAGAAAAGCCTCACTTAGAGTCGCTTTTATTTCAGTGGAAAGACAGTCATTGTAAAGCCTGTTCTACCTTCATGCGGAACATCAAGGTGCTTCGTTCAAAAAGTTGAAGAAAATTCAACTTTCTGCTCATGTCCTCTGAGTCCTCTTTTTACTAACATTGTAATGCTGGTAGTAATGAAATGTAACAGTTACATCTATTTGTATTATTACCTATATTTATAATCCTGATAATCCTGTTAAATGTAATCTATTACTCCCCAAACCTGCAGATCTGTGTTTAAACTCTCAGTGTGACGTAACACACTGCATGCTAACTATTGGTTACTCACATGTTGGGGTCCATGCTCATCCATGTTGCTCTCCGTCAGTAAGTAAGCATTATCAATAGTACTTCCTGTTTGCAGCATTGTGCTTAAAAGCTTGTGTTTCGTCCCTGTGAAGTTAAATCTGGCTGCATGTCATCGTGCTTTTTATGTGATTGGATAACCAGCCAAACTTCTGCTGATGCATGCATTTTCAGTTGTTTCCTCAGATAAGCCTCAGATCATTTATTTTCAGCTGAAATGCATTTCTCTGTTGCATGCAAAGCTGGAAATGTGTACCAGTTATTAGTTTGTAAATGCCAAAATGAGCGATGAACGCTGAGCCTGAGCTGCTTTTATAAGCCTTTCTGTCTGGAAACTGCATGTGTTTTGATTTGAATAATCTGAGGGGGAGACAATAACCTGCATTGATAACCTGCTTTAAACTTATACGTTTCCTAAGACAGTTTGAACAAAGCTATACAAAAGATGGAATGGGTGTTGAGCCTTGAGCCACATCTGCTTCATCTTCAAAGCAAAATCTGTTTCGTTGTTTTTCTGTCGTTTTTTTCTATTGCAGATAGCTTGTAATTACAATGTATTTCTATTCAAGTGGAGCGCCTCAAATCAAGGCAGAGAGGTTGCAACAGTTTGATGTGAAGGACAGAATTTGAAAGACTTAGAGATGTATTACAGACCACGAGTGTTTGGTGAAATGTTACGAATGATGTATGAACTATGCATTTTGATATGTAGTGTTTATACATTGTGTTGATGTGTTATCATTCAACCTGACAGACCTAGAGGTTGAGAAATCTTTCGAACACAAAAAGCCTTTTTTCGTGTGAGGAAGTCAAACTTTCTAGACTTCTTTTCAATAAGGCAGGGTTTTTTATGTTTATCGTGGAAGAACTAGCCAAATTATTGCAATTAAACGTTAAAAAACCTCCATCAACACATGAAATATGGAACAGACACGTTTTACAATAGAAGTGTTAAAACGGCCCTATAATGCAAAAAGCACAATAGGGCCCCTTTAATTGTATGCTTGTAAAACTGACATGCAATCCCTTTGATAAGCACAGGTAAGCATCATAACACAGTGTTTGTATATAGTAAACTCACCCACTTTGATTTATATTGGGACTGTTTTCTAGGTAAGTTCTGTGATTGTGTGTGAAATTAAACCCTTCAAGAGTGTCTGCCATGATGGTTTTTCAACAGTAAATATCGAGCGTCCATAAGTGGAGATTTGTCTGAATTAGTTTCAGGAATGATTTGTGTCCAACTCTCCACTCCTGAGGTCTTACAAATCTGAATCAGCGTATTAAAAGCTTGACTGCATTCCTCATCATCTCCCCTCTTTCTCTCTCTATCTTTTCTAACTTTCTCTCCATCCCCTCTCCCTCATGTAAAACCCTCCCCTCTCCCCTAACTTCTCCCCCCTGCTTTGCTTGCGTTTCCCCCCCTCGTTGTTTCCCCTTCAGACGCAGCGACCGGAGGTTCAGGTATGGGCACCGGCGCCATCGTTGGCATCCTCATCGTGGTCTTCTTCCTGCTGCTGGTGGGGGTGGACGTCACCTGCTACTTCCTGAATAAATGTGGCCTCCTCATGTGCATCGCCGTCAACTTCTGTGGGAAGGCCGGGCCGGGGGCCAAGAGCAAAGACATCGAGGAGGGCAAGGCCGCGTTCACGTAAGAGGACATCGTTTTTACAGAAAGAAAGAAAATCTGACTTTAACGGTCAACTATTATGCAAAATCCACTTCTTCATGTCTCTTCTACATCAACATGTGTCCCCTCTTCTTCATGTCTCTTCTACATCAACATGTGTCCCCTCTTCTTCATGTCTCTTCTACATCAACATGTGTCCCCTCTTCTTCATGTCTCTTCTACATCAACACGTGTCCCCTCTTCTTCATGTCTCTTCTACATCAACATGTGTCCCCTCTTCTTCATGTCTCTTCTACATCAACATGTGTCCCCTCTTCTTCATGTCTCTTCTACATCAACATGTGTCCCCTCTTCTTCATGTCTCTTCTACATCAACATGTGTCCCCTCTTCTTCATGTCTCTTCTACATCAACATGTGTCCCCTCTTCTTCATGTCCCTTCTACATCAACATGTGTCCCCTCTTCTTCATGTCTCTTCTTCATCAACATGTGTCCCCTCTTCTTCATATCTCTTCTACATCAACATGTGTCCCCTCTTCTTCATGTCTCTTCTACATCAACATGTGTCCCCTCTTCTTCATGTCTCTTCTACATCAACATGTGTCCCCTCTTCTTCATGTCTCTTCTACATCAACATGTGTCCCCTCTTCTTCATGTCTCTTCTACATCAACATGTGTCCCCTCTTCTTCATGTCTCTTCTACATCAACATGTGTCCCCTCTTCTTCATGTCTCTTCTACATCAACATGTGTCCCCTCTTCTTCATGTCCCTTCTACATCAACATGTGTCCCCTCTTCTTCATGTCTCTTCTACATCAACATGTGTCCCCTCTTCTTCATGTCTCTTCTACATCAACATGTGTCCCCTCTTCTTCATGTCTCTTCTTCATCAACATGTGTCCCCTCTTCTTCATGTCTCTTCTACATCAACATGTGTCCCCTCTTCTTCATGTCTCTTCTTCATCAACATGTGTCCCCTCTTCTCCATGTCTCTTCTACATCAACATGTGTCCCCTCTTCTTCATGTCTCTTCTACATCAACATGTGTCCCCTCTTCTTCATGTCTCTTCTACATCAACATGTGTCCCCTCTTCTTCATGTCCCTTCTACATCAACATGTGTCCCCTCTTCTTCATGTCTCTTCTACATCAACATGTGTCCCCTCTTCTTCATGTCTCTTCTACATCAACATGTGTCCCCTCTTCTTCATGTCTCTTCTTCATCAACATGTGTCCCCTCTTCTTCATGTCTCTTCTACATCAACATGTGTCCCCTCTTCTTCATGTCTCTTCTTCATCAACATGTGTCCCCTCTTCTCCATGTCTCTTCTACATCAACATGTGTCCTCTCTTCTTCATGTCTCCTCTACATCAACATGTGTCCCCTCTTCTTCATGTCTCTTCTACATCAACATGTGTCCCCTCTTCTTCATGTTTCTTCTACATCAACATGTGTCCCCTCTTCTTCATGTCTCTTCTACATCAACATGTGTCCCCTCTTCTTCATGTCTCTTCTACATCAACATGTGTCCCCTCTTCTTCATGTCTCTTCTACATCAACATGTGTCCCCTCTTCTTCATGTCTCTTCTACATCAACATGTGTCCCCTCTTCTTCATGTCTCTTCTACATCAACATGTGTCCCCTCTTCTTCATGTCTCTTCTACATCAACATGTGTCCCCTCTTCTTCATGTTTCTTCTACATCAACATGTGTCCCCTCTTCTTCATGTCTCTTCTACATCACCATGTGTCCCCTCTTCTTCATGTCTCTTCTACATCAACATGTGTCCCCTCTTCTCCATGTCTCTTCTACATCAACATGTGTCCCCTCTTCTTCATGTCTCTTCTACATCAACATGTGTCCCCTCTTCTTCATGTCTCTTCTACATCAACATGTGTCCCCTCTTCTTCATGTCTCTTCTACATCAACATGTGTCCCCTCTTCTTCATGTCTCTTCTACATCAACATGTGTCCCCTCTTCTTCATGTCTCTTCTACATCAACATGTGTCCCCTCTTCTCCATGTCTCTTCTACATCAACATGTGTCCCCTCTTCTTCATGTCTCTTCTACATCAACATGTGTCCCCTCTTCTTCATGTCTCTTCTACATCAACATGTGTCCCCTCTTCTTCACGTCTCTTCTACATCAACATGTGTCCCCTCTTCTTCATGTCTCTTCTACATCAACATGTGTCCCCTCTTCTTCATGTCTCTTCTACATCAACATGTGTCCCCTCTTCTTCATGTCTCTTCTACATCAACATGTGTCCCCTCTTCTTCATGTCTCTTCTACATCAACATGTGTCCCCTCTTCTTCATGTCTCTTCTACATCAACATGTGTCCCCTCTTCTCCATGTCTCTTCTACATCAACATGTGTCCCCTCTTCTTCATGTCTCTTCTACATCAACATGTGTCCCCTCTTCTTCACGTCTCTTCTACATCAACATGTGTCCCCTCTTCTTCACGTCTCTTCTACATCAACATGTGTCCCCTCTTCTTCATGTCTCTTCTACATCAACATGTGTCCCCTCTTCTTCATGTCTCTTCTACATCAACATGTGTCCCCTCTTCTTCATGTCTCTTCTACATCAACATGTGTCCCCTCTGTGGAAAGAGATTCTGAAAGTTTCAGGAACAAAGATTCTCTCTCTTTTTGATCCATTTCTATAAAAACCTGTCTGAAAATGAGCTGATTAGATTTTGACCACTTTATGATGTCATAACGATGTTTTGTCTTGTGTAACCATTAGCCAATCAGCAACCAAGGTAACCCCCCCCCCCCCCCCCCCCCCCCCCCCCCTTATCACCTGAATCTCCTCCTAGAGCACCATTGAGTTCTTTGTAACCAAATCTCTCTCAGAGGGGCGTGGGGAGGGGCTCCTTATTTTCATCTAAAGTAACAGACAGAGAATCAGCACTTTGGAAACAGGGCTGAAACAGAGGGGATTATGGGTAACGCTGCAATGATCTGTTTGGTGTTTCAGCCAATCAGAGACAGGCTCTGTATATATCTGAGACCTGTGATATATTGAAAACAGTATGATAGGGGACCTTTAATCTTAGAAATCTGACTTAGTCGTTTTTTCCCACGTTAAATGAAGTACAATGTCTAAATACTTCTTCATCCGCTGCCTGTTTGATAAATGATGTTAGCCTGTTAGCGTGTTAGCTTGCTAAATCTCCTTTGCAATCCATCAACAGGAAAGATGAGTCCAAGGAGCCCATCGTGGAGGTGAGAACAGAGGAGGAAAACACTCCCAACCAGGGGGGGGGGTCCCACTGAGCCCAACGAGACCACGCCCCTCACAGATCCTGAGTGAGTACACAACCCTCCCTGGAGCAGGACGTTCCCCAAATGAAATGCTATCTGATCGTTATCTTGATAGTGATGTGAATCAAATAATTGGGTTACTCTCCGATCAAAAATCTTTTTCATTGCGCTTCGACAATGCATAAGCAATGTTTGTCATTTAGAAGTGGAAAGCAAAATATATGCATTCAAATGAGACAATGGTCTGTACTGATTGTATGTACAAAGAGAAAAGCTATTACAAAGAACACAGACAAACAATAACAACGACTAAAGTAATCCCCCTACACGATTTGTCATGCCCAGATTAAGTGCTATCTGATCGTTATCTTTATAGAGAGGCGAAGTCCCTCCCTTTCCGGGGAGCTCCTTGGGACCTTATTTCGGTAAAATTATGTATTGAAGTCAATGGGGAGAGAAAGATTATCTTTCGTTTGAATTGTGCCACGAATTACACATATGATGTTTGTCAATTTTTGTCAAATGTTTGTCAAATTCCCGTCTCGCACCACACACCAAGACGGCCGTCCCGTTGGAACATTTCACTTCTTTCTTTCAGAATGAGGCGGAAAGTATTAAAAGAGGTTGAGAGCATGTTGAGAGCTGTGCATACACACAAGGGGAGTTAGTCGGTTCGTGAGAGCCAGCATGCGGGACCGGGACTCTGGGAGTTGTAGTCTTTCTAGCTGCGTATTTTTCATAGTCTTTTATTTCAACAGTTTTACGACAAACTGTGACTTTTTTGACACGGAAATTATTTGTTGAGATTGACAAACATCATGTGTGTAATTCGTGGCACATTTCTAACGGGATCGAGAGATAATCTTTCGCTCTCCATTGACTTCAATACATAATCTTCCCATGGGGCGGAAGTAGATGGGCGGGACTTCACCTCTCTATAGGGATCTGAATCAAATCATTGGGTTACTCTCAACAAAACTCTTTATTCTGGTAGCGTTTTTTAGCTCTGGCCCAAACTAGATGTATGTATTTGAGACACAGTTCTGTACACGACCATAAGGTAGTACGGACAAATGATGCAGCATGGTGGAGACCAAAGCAGAGCTCAAAGTAGAGATAAATGTTGACCTGTAATTCACCTGGTGAACAAAAACCTCTAAGTGAAATTGTACTTAAATAGTCTGCTTTGTCTTACTCTGTCAAATTAACTTTGGTTTTTGGCATCCCAATATAACAGCTGTATGTTGTGAAAAGGATATTCCTGCTGCCTCGTTGTTGTTCCCGTGTGGTTTTTACACATCTGTATAACTAAATAAAGAAGTCAACAGTAGCATCAAACACAGTCCTAACATTTGGCTGAAAAGCCAAATCACCCGATCCTGAAATTCCCTAATTCTTTCTATTGTTGATTGTTGTATCCCTTTTGGTTTACCCTTCACAAAATGTTGTTTCTAACCGTTTCTAGATGTTTCTCAGCAGCACAGTCTCACTCTGTTCAAACCCTGACCTTCACTCTCCCTCACCTCCTTATGTCCTTTTTCTTTCTTCCCTTCACTTTCTTCTGGTGGCTCGATGTGTCCTCCCCCCACTCCTCCTCCCTTTCCTCTCTCCTTCTTTACCCCCCTCCCTACACTGAAAACAGGCCTCCTGCTGCAGACTCCACTTCCTCCCCGGTGGTGAACGTGCCCCCCCCCTCCACCGCCAATAACTCTGAGAGCTTTAGCACGGCGCAGAGCAGTCCGGTTAGCGAGAGCACCACCACGCTAACCATCAGCCCTACCAAAGCCCCCCCAAAAAACAACCCCCCGATCAAAACCAGTGATTCTAACGCTAACCCCCAGCCTGATGTTGGGCCCCTGGTTGACCTGAGCGAAACCCCTAAAGTCTCAGAGGCCCCGAGTACGGACTCACAGGTAGACGGCCCGAACGAGGATGCACCCAAAGCCCCGAGCACAGACTCCAACACACCGGCCCAAAATGAGTATGAACACTTCCATCACCCCTACCCCAAACCCCCCCACATCCCTCCACTTCTGCTCTGATAGCATCCCAATAGTCAACACTAGTGTGCCATTTTTAAAGGAGATAGCCACCTTTGATGCAGAAGCAGTGCTTTTTCTTTCTCAGTGTTATGATGTGTAATTATACCTGTACTGTGCCTTAATCTCAGTCAAGCAAAAGAGGAATTAAGGTGGATTTCACAAGCGTTTGATTAATTCTGTCACAGTATATGAAGTCATTAATAATACAAAGAAATGGTAAGGGTTGAATTCTGAAGGCGAATGATAGAAAAAAGCCAATACAGTATGATTAGGATTTGTTAGCATTTATATCTTCCCACTAGTTGTTTATCTAAAGCGTATTACAATAAGGGAGATCTCCGTAAAGTAAATTAAACATTTTGATTTATCTCGACTCCGAGAGCATTTCGAGAGCTTTTGATTGTTGATTGATTGTATTAAAAAGTAATAAGCACAACAAAGTTTGATTAAGAGGCTGTAGTCAAATGTTGGAAATGTTATAAAACTAATTGTGCAGCTAAATTACAGGAACAGCAAATTGATTAGCCTTTTATTCAGTTCGCATAAATACTGAAACACTTTCCTGCACACAAAAAAAGCCTCAAACAATCCTGTAGCTGAGATCAAACGTCATCTAAATTACATTGTGAGGGAGCCCCAGTGTTAATAACATACAACTGTGCCCGACCTTTACACCTCAGTGCTTCTATTCATGGCTGCTTTGTTGTAGACTTTGACTAAATGTTCTAATAATGGCACCAGAAGGACCAAAAGGCAGAGATACCAACGTTATACCTGAATGAAATGCAAATCATGTTGCAGATGGAGCACAGTGCTGATAGCAAGGCAAGGCAAGGCAAGGCAAGGCAAGGCAAGGCAAGGCAAGGCAAGGCAAGGCAAGGCAAGGCAAGGCAAGGCAAGGCAAGGCAAGGCAAGGCAAGGCAAGGCAAGTTTATTTATATAGCACTTTTCAACACAAGGCAATTCAAAGTGCTTTACAAAAAATTAAAGACATTAAGAAAAGGGCATTTAAAATCAGTCATTAAAAAGAAAAGCTAATAAAATAAACATTAAAAGAAAAAGTACATGGATCAAAGTTACAGTGCAGTCTAAGATATGAATAGTTCAATTAAAAGCAGCGACAAAAAGAAAAGTCTTCAGCCTGGATTTAAAAGTAGTCAGAGTTGTAGCGGACCTGCAGGTTTTACTAGCCAGAAATACTACATTTGCTCATACACTTAACTTTAGTTTTCAACATTTAGGACTGTTCCTGGGGTGAAAATGTCATTTGATCGCTTGGTTCAACAATATTAGGTTCACCAAACAGAGCATTTTGCACATCATGATTATTGTTAGAGTGTGGAAATCTCCTTTCTAAAATGTCAAGTGCAGATGAATGGCACAGGAATACAACACATTGGGATGCTACCAGTGCATGACTGTCTTCATACAACCACCACCACCTCCACCTCCACCTGTTCGATCATCACTTAAGTCAAACTTCCTTTAACCAACAACCTCTTGTTGGTCATCTCTGGGTTATTCAGTTGCTACAGGTAGCTGAAGGATGCTTTGTTTGTAACACATTTAGTTCGTAGGTCTTCCAGGAATACGTACAAGAATCATCCGCTAATCAAATAAGCACCACGGTTTTAAAATGCAGAACAATATATTATATATGGAGAAGATTTTAAGGATGGTGCAAGTTGATTTAGTCACTTATTTGAGTAGCTGTGTAGTGGTAAAATCAGAGAACTCAGAGACATCGCTAGAAGAAAAATTAAACAGGGCAATAAAACATAAGCAGTCAATGTAATCATAGCCAATAGGGACCTCCTACAGCATCTTAATTCCTGCAGAAAGCCCTTATTCTTTGCTACGAAGGGTTCTTGTGATTCCTGTCAAGAGGCACTATAGCTAAGGATGCATTTCTAAGGCTCACTGACAACCACTCCTCCCTCTCTCCTCCTTCATATCATCCTCACTGAGATGTCCAGAGGAAGATGTCAGTGATGAAGTGTTTGGAGTTGAGTTGGAAGCGGGGCTCTTGTCAGCTCAGCAGCACCTTGATAAAACTAAACTTGTCATTGGAAGGGATTTTTTCCTCATAACTCTCTGACAGGCCTGATCCACAGCTCTGCCTCTGATCTATGTGCTGATCCTCCTCCCGCTGAAAAGAAAACAGTGAAACGTCTTGTCAGGCTTCTTGTGGTTTTCCAGACTGACGCACTTCCCCTTGAGGATTAATTTCTCTCTCTCTCTTGAGTAGAAAAACCTTTCTGCAGACCACATGCTACACAGTATGTTCAACACAACATAAAGTAATGAAAACATTGTTGAATTACATTTAAATACATTTGGATCCAGAAACAATTACCCACGTGTTCTAATTGTTTAAGTGAAGAAAGTTCTGACACATCCAACCATTGATTTGCTCAATGCTCTCACTCAGTTCTTGTATTGAAAGGTCATTCCCTAGGTGTAATGGTTATGTAAATGTACGTATCGTCTGCATACAGTAACTTATTTTTGTTGATATTATGATATCAGCCAGCTGGAAGCATGTTGATGTAAAAGAGAAGAGGCCCCAGGATGGAGCCTTGAGGAACTCCGCGTGTCTTATTTGTCCGCTTAGATGCGTAAATATCTTTAGGAACAAGTTGCCAAATATAGAGGACATTTTTTGTGATTAAACTTATGCTGATTTTCAGTTTTAAGTCCATAGGAGATAGATTTATATAGGCTGCTGTCTCTGAGTTTTCAAAAAGGAGAACTGTATTGATTTAAATTGCTTTTTGAAAACTGGCAAAGAAAAGATGACTGTATGTGATACAGCAGGGAAGCGCCGCTTTTTCAAAATGCAAGCCGCAAGCAGCAGCTCTTCAAATGTTTTCCAACAACAAAGGTTTATATGCTCACAGAAAAAGAAGAAATGTCCAACTTAAGAGAAGTATGGCTTTAAAGTCTCTGCATTGTGTCTGGGTTCAGTCCAGACGGCGTGTAATCCTCTTGTGTATTGTACTCTGTGTTGTAGGTTATTCCTCAGTCTTTCAGTCCCTCATGCATTGTCCCTACTGTACCGGCCCTGTCTCATTCCACATCAGTATTCATTGTTCATGGAAAATAGCTGTGACATCCATGTACTCTTATTCGATGTCTGTCTAGGATAGTGAGCTTGATCCCATTATGTGTGAAATGCATTCAGTTCCAGAAGGGAAAACAAATTCCCTCAAAGCATCTTGCATGTTTTCACCCCTTTTTTTATCCTCCTCCTTCACTTTGAATAATGACACAAAAGGCAGCTCAGAGCAGACCGTTTAGCTGTGAGAGAGACTCCTAACACATTCTCCTTTTTCTCTTTTTGTCTCCTTCTGGCTCTCGCTCCATGTTTGTCCTCACAGCGGTAAGATTGTGAAGGATGGAAACACTAAAGTGGGCGAGACGGAGGTGAAGAACGCCACGGCCGAAGTGAAGACGGTCCCCAGCGAGGCCCCGCAGACGAACGGCAACGAAAGTAAAGCGTAAAACAGGAAGAAGAGGGTGGTTTATGGGGGGGTTTAATGGGGTGTAGGGTTTTTAAGGTTAAAAAAGGGGGGGTCACAGTCACTGAAACCTCAAAAAAAGCAATGTCACGCACCACCCCATCGCATCAGGAGGAAAATAAATCATGAGTCATTTTCTACCGTGTCTTCTGACCAGGGAAATGTAAAGACCTCATGCACATGCCTTAGTTCCTTTTACATCTACTCGTCACAGAAATAAAATGCATAGTTCCTCCTCTCGTTTGTAATATTAAAGTGGTAACCCTGGTTGGACTGTAGCTTTATACACAAATGTAAGGATACATTACCAACACTACTTGTCTTTATGCAGTACGGTCATCACCTGGTAATGGATTATGGGTCTTTCTTCCTTTGTTGATATTTTGTTGTGTTTAAATAATGTACTGCCTATTTAGCTTTTTTTAATGTGTTATTTCCAGGGTTAGAGATTAGAGCGTTAGCATGCCTGTTTTTTGCAAAGTTACTGTATTTCTGTACATGTTGCTGTCGTTTATTTTGCTCAAATGTTGTCTCCAAATGGTTCCGGTGGAGAAATCGTTTTAAAGCCTAAGCTATGAGAAATGGAAGAAAGATTTATCACGCTATTAAAGACCGGGGCGTTTCAACCCTGTCTCCTAAAAAAATATGTTTGTATGTACATGTTTGCTGGTGTATAGGTCCGCCTGATACATTTGACTTTGCAGATATATTGTAAAAATCTGGATGACATTTCAAAACAAACTTTCTGTTTTTAAGGAGACAGGGTTAGGGTTAGGAGGCGATCACATTAAGGATACAAGCTGTGTTATGTTGAGGGGCCATATCCCTCAGAGTCAAAATTTAAGACTAAATATGACTCACGACAAAAGAAAAACACTGCCTTATTTGCTGATATAAACCAATGGTGTCTCATGTGTCCCATCATTCACCAGCTGATTACTTGCTCATGAAGTCAGAAAATGATCATGTGACCAAATATACCGGGTGTATCCACATGATCCCTTAAAATATGAGCAAAACCAATGGAACTAATGCTACAGGATGTAAATAATGGAAGCCTTGCCAGACGTTGGAAGTATCTAAATAGTGAAAGTTAAATAAGTTATTCACTTATTGCCAGTTATCCATTGTGTCACGATAGAAAAGCCTGAATGCTTCACCGACCCAGGTTTATAAACCATGCTATACGAAAGGATGTGGCTCCTTTAAAGGGACACGGCTTGCTTTATGTAATTGTTAATATTGCAGTAGAGTGGTTCAGCGATGTCGTATTTATGTGGTCAAACCCTAAAGGTACTATCTTACTAGTTCCCTAGACAAAAAGCCAATTGGATTGTGAATGATTGCAGAAATAAGCTCCAACCACACACCGTATTTCAAGCCATTCAAAAAAACATTGACTTCAAGATGAGGGATCAGGAAGTGCTAAAACGCTGACTCATTTCCGGGGTTTAGGACTCATGCCTGCACCACTCTAATGGTTTTCTATCTTACAAAACCACACATAACTTTAAACATGTGGGATTGAACTCTTAAGGCTACGTGTGTTTTGTCTAAATTATTTCTGTTGCTCAAACTCGTTGAACACCAGTTTCAACTGCCAGCAATTAGCCTCGTCCCGTTATTTCCTTTAGGTTAAACATCTCTACCTTCTCCTATGGTTCATAGCCATCGTTGCCTTCTCTGTGCTAACCACTATTCACCGCTCAACCGTCCTCTTTCACCACAACGTGTGAGTTTGTGTCACCTCTGCTTCCACCGTCCTGCATTACTTAGTGTGTGACATGTATTGTAGGTTTAGTACAGTTCACAATCAGTTAATCACTCCCAGCACAAGGACCACTTAGCGGAAATTATCTGGAAAATGTCTGTAAATTACTAAAAAAATAAGACGACAGTTGACATAAAACATTTTTCTTTTTCTGATATGCCCAGCCAGAAAAATGTAAGAAATTGAGATTTGTTAAGAGAACACACGCATTGAAGGAAGTGGTGTGTTCGGACGAGTTTTAAAGGACTTTGGTAGTTTACCCAAAATGTGAGAATAAATGATCTGTGTTTCTGATACATCAATACTCACAGATAGCATTATAATAAACAGCAGATGGTTTAATTTAATGAAAATAAATATTATTTCTTTACTGCTAAAAGAAAACCCAAACTGCATGGTATGATACATTTGGTGTGAGTATTTTTGATTTATTGGGGTTTTTGAAAAGAAAGTAGAATAAAAATGTAACTTAAATTGATACTACTCAAAATACAGTCAAGTGAAGCTGGTTAAACAGTCAAAACTAAATGCATCGTTTTTGTACTAATTGCGGTTTTAGATAACACCAATGCTAACATTTTAGCATGCACACTATTGCCAAAAGAAAACCCAATCGGCTACAACCATGAAGGAAACTCCACGTCAGTTTGATGCGGACAAATTGGATTTGTATAAGGATTGTAAAAATACATAAAAATGTAACTCAAACAAAAGAAAGCTTCAGGTTGAGCTGGATAGAAAACAACGTATTCCCAAAACTCACTGAATGCATACGTTTTGACCTTTTTTGTACCCTTGGATGTTAAAAATAAAGCAGATTGAGGTGTTAAATAATGCCGATGCTAACTTTTTAGCATGCACACTTCACAGAAACACCTAGACTTTGACACCAGTCCATTAAATATTTCGTAACACGACCAAAAGCTAGTCCTTTGAAACTCATTAAAATAAAGCCACCAGGTGCTCTGATATTAGGGTTAATGGAGATCCTGAGCCTGTGAGTGTGTCTTTAAATGAATGTGCACACACAAGCCTTTCAGTTCCCGTCCTTTAAAAAAAAAAACTGAATGAAGAAGACATTTGCTCCTTTCAATTATGAAGGATTTTAGCGTTTGAAAGTCTGTTTGGGAAGTTTTTTTGTGTACAGTGTTCCTCTTCTTTAGACTGCAAGCTAGTACACTGTGAATGTGTGAGTGCATTGTGTCTTTTGTCATAGCGAGTAGTAGTTTGATCGTGAATAGCCGGTAGGATGTTTCCAACAGCAGCAAACTGGAGAGACAGTGCCTTTGAATGACAGAAAGTGGTGGCATGCATTACATTCCTCTGTGTCTGAACATTAGAAATCACATCTCCATCTTTCTGCAGGTTTTTCATTTACTACATTTTCACATGTGCTTTGTCACAGAATGATTCTGGGTTATTACGGTTTTATTTTGGGGCGTTTCACTGAGAAAGAAATGTAGAAACATCACAAAGAAAACTATTAAAGCAGAATTATGCTTAAAATCATTACATTACAAAACTATCAAACACAATGACACGTTGCTCAGGTCCCGTCGTCAGTCAATGATCTGAAATTGTTGGATTTGTCAGCATGCAAAATATATTGGAAATCACAGTTTTGGAAATGGAAGAAATAATGAAGGCTTCATGTGTTATTGATCTTCTTTCAAGTGTTGTGTAACCGGTTTCTCAAACTTGTTTTGTTTGCTTCACAGAGCTCTGAAATGTAATTAAAAAGGAAGAGTTGTCATGAGCAGATGTTACTGTTTCTTCTGAAATACAGTGTGAAAATATACAAAACGAGTCGTGTGAGGGTTTTTTTGTTTGTCTGCAAATTGCATAACGTTTTTCTGCACCTTCACATTAAAACTCTCCTGTTGTGTTCGGGTCAAATCTGACCGATTTACTACTTCGTTAATCATGACTTTTTAGTTTTACATTCGATTGCATTCAGGCTTTATGATATCCTTCACAGGAGACTTTGAACATATCAAATGGCTGATCACCACTTTCATTGAATTCTGGATGATTTAGTGAACTTTGTAACGCCATGATGTTCCCGGTCAAACATGACCGCCATAAAGAAAAGGAATTAGTAACCATCCGGATCAGATTACACACACACACACACACATACTCTAGATGCGTCCCCCCCCCCCCCCCCCCCCCCTTGTGTGCCCATCCCCCCATGTGAATCACACCTGGCACACACACACAGAACAATTTGACACATTTCCCGCTCTTATGTGCCCCTCCCCCACATGGATCACACCTGGCACACGCAATACATGTTCAGTGTCTATTCTTTGTACATTTACTGCAGTTTTTCATGTGTACCAGTAGTCAATATGTACAGTTTGAAAGGGTGTTAAATTACATTTGGTGGTGATTAATGGTTTTTGTGTTAATGTAATAGCAGTTAAAACAGGACCGGTCAGATTTGACCGCGAACACCAAAGTAAGTGGGGAACGAAGACAATAGGAGGGTTAAATGGATTTTGTAGGGGTTCAGAAATGCAGGATTTTTCGAGTACACCACTTGATGTAAAGACGTGTTTTTAGGAGACAAAGCAACGTGAATTCGTCAAGTTTTGGAAGAGAGAAAATCATCCTCAAGGTTTTCTGTCTCAGTAAAAATCACAGACGGGTTCATCTTGAGAGTCGATACTGAAGACAGAGAGAGGAACAGTGGGCATTAAGCCAGAGTTTAAAATAAAGGTAAAGATTGTGAAGCTTTGAGGTTAATAAAGTAGTATTTACTTAATTACAGCTCAAATATAAATATATTAATATGTTGAATAAGATTAAAAGGTATTTGTATTCAGAATATTCCATTTATCCCGGGGTAGATTGGGTTTGGAACAGTTTCTCCTATTTAGAATACAAATAAATAAATGCTTAAATTTATATAAAACGTAGAAGTGGTTTTAAAAATGTCCTATAAAAGATGAATATTTACATAAATATAAGAAGTAAAAAGATACAATTAAAAAAGAAATGGTCGAATACAAAAATTACACATTACAAATAAAAAATAATGTGCAAAAAAATATGAAAAATAAGTTATATTAGAATAAGGAGATACAAAATAAATCTAATAAATAGGATACAAATATTGTTATAATTATGGTACTAATGTAAAATATGTAATAATAAACAAATATATATTAATATTAACATAAAAATGCACACACTGTACTACAATATAAAACAACGATAAATATGAAAAATTATATATATAGTGTTGTTTCATTTCATCTGTTAAAGTGAGACTTTCAACTACACTTCCTGAGAATCTGATTTATTTGGTATTATTTATTATTTTCCCTATTTGTTGTGAAAAAACTGCGAAACAAATAAATACCGGTTTTCTTATTTGGAGTCTCATTTCTCCTCCAGGATGTGATTACTTCCACAAACAAAGATTATGTTTATTCAGGGCTCATGCAGTTCTGTGTGTCGACCACCAGGTGGCAGTGTGTTCCCACGGAAGTATTATGGTATGTTGAAAGTAATGGTAAAAGGACTGGCATATTTGTATGTGCAAAATACTTTACATGATACATCTTTCTATCAATTATACTTCCTTCAATTTAATTAGTATTTGATTTAAGTAACTAGAACTGATCCAAATTAGAGGAAGTACTTAGCGCTGCGTTGGACGAGGTATAAGTACCAATGCCACGCTGTACAAATACTCTGTAGTATGAAGTAAAAGTATGTAAATATAAACATTTACTTAGAGTATAACATGTAACAAATAATTACTTAAATGTGTATTCATGCAAGTTAACATTCTCTAAATTAGCTAATTAATTAACAATTCAGTTGTTTTCAGGCAAATATCTCAATGTACACTTTTGTACAATACTCCACCACTGCTAAAGCATCATCACATACATTGCTGTCATTGTATATACAGTTAAAAACAACAACAAACACATGGAGTGTTTTGCTGTAACATTAACAACAACATCACTGATCAGTAAACAAATCTGTGGTTCCTCCAACAGGTGGCAGACTCACTCTGTTTAAGGTAAATACGCTAAATGTAGGTACAAGCGTTAAGGTACCCAATGCAGAACAAATACATCAACTAAATACATATTAGAAAATGGTTTATGGATGCCGATTGATTTTCCTTTAATTGAGTCATTGATTCTCGTGGTTGGCTACTTCCTGATCTACAGACATGTTACTATTCCTTCACATTTAAAGTTACATTTCCAATGCAGGACTTTTGAGTATTTTCACAGTTAAGTATTAGTACTTCAGTAGAGGAAGAATAAAGGAAAAGTACTCGAAAAACACAAAGACAGATAAATGTTTAGACTTGTAGAGACTTGTACACCAAAAGCAGCGAAGAAGACCCCCGAGCATGGTTGCCATGGTTGCCCTTCTGTCTATTCTCCGCGGTGGATTTAGCAACATGTAGTTCATGTAGTTCTCCATGTCCACTTGTTGCTGATGGTTGTGGAAGAGGAGCTGTAAATTGTGCACTAACAGCTGTAGCATGGTCAGTAGCTACTGACAGTAGCTACTGACCATGCTACAGCTGTGAGCAGGAGAGGCGGGGCTATGGTGTTGTCGTTATCAGGAAATGATCGTATAGGACGTACACACGGAGCCGTTTGGCCCCCCAGAGCGTTTCATCCACAGATCTACCCACCTTGGGACCCGTTACCGTTTGAGGGCTCCGTTTCCGCGGTTCTGTTACGGCCTCGTGTGAACGAACCGTCCATACCATAGAGAACTGTAGCGGATACAACCAGTTTCGTCTCCGTGTAAACGTGGCCTTAATCTCACCTACATTATTTTCACCATTACAGAATGAGATCAATAAAATACAAAAAGAATAATCATATAAACAAAGGAATTTAAATTACTAAAGTGCAATAAAACCATAAAATAATCATATTTACGTAAACGTAGGAAGATAAAATAAAACTGTGCAACAACAATGTATTTTTTAATTAAGGAAAAATAAGGATATGAACAAAATAAATTATGATGTGCAAAAAAAATGAAATGAAAACATCTAAATATTTAGTAAAAAAAATTAAGTTAAAACGTGCAGTGAAATTATATTAAAATAAGAAATAAGATATGTGCAATACAACTTTAAAATATAAGACGTTAAAATGTGCTACAAAATGATTAAATTATATAGAATGATAATACTGTACATAGGAAGATAACGTAGAAACATGCAATAAATAAAATTAAAGAACAAATGTACACAATATTTAACACATCATAAAATTAGTGTGCACCCTTCCCTTCCCTTCACATTCAGTTTCGCATGAGCAGGATTGGTTTTGGTACTTTAACTTAAAGTGTGTTGTAAGAACCGTGGCCTTCTTGAGTCTCGTGAGAGTCAGTTCCTCGTTTCGACATTTGTTTCAACATTTCCTCCCCGACTTCATTTAAGACGCTTCCTGAGACCTTAAAGAGATTAGGGAGTGACAGTCATGCAGATATTAGTACATTATACTATGTGTTTATCTGCCATGTGTTGTGGAGTTTCTCCTTTAAAGAAACACATGTTATTTTCTCTACAGATCCATGTAGCTCCCACTCACTTCAGGAATTAAGAAATACAAAAAATGTAAGAAATTAAACATTTTGATATAACATTTCAAAATTTAAAGATTTTGTAATAGTTACAATAAAAAGATGAAAAATGTTAGAATCAAAAAGTTAAATGATGTTAAGAATTTTTCATTTGTTAGGGCTGTACAAGGGCGTGGAATCAAATGCACGATGCAGAGACAGGTCATAACACACTGAATACATAAAGCAACAAAACAAAAACTACTAATACACTAATCTAACTCTATGGACGATTGATTGAAAAGTGTATTAACAGCTTGTATATTGGGTACAGAACAGTACAGCTCAAAACATACAATTGTTAAGGGGATGCAGACCAGAGAAAGACTTTCGTCTTGTTTACATCAGGGTCCCCCATTTCCAATTCATCATATATTATATATATATATATACGATAACTCTACGGACAATGACAAAAGGATCTTACGCTGGAAGGCTTGGAACACACAAGACAATCTGGCAACGAGACAGGGGAAGACGAGAACTATATATACTAGACAGACAACACCAGGTGAAGACAATTAGACAATCACAACCGTGGGAAAACAGACCAGGCAGGAAACGTACTTTAGACACATGAGGGTAGACAAGACTATCAAAATAAAACAGGAACCATCTAAACTAGGGAACAATCTACGCACAACATCATTTTAGACTTCGGGAATCAAGTGAACATAATTAAAGTTAAATGCACTATAACTACATCAGGTACTTTATTACATAACCTTCATTTTTTGCTCATCACACTAACTTATTTAATCAGTTGTTAAGTTACTACTCAGTGTAGTATTTGTACTTCAGTATTAGATCTGAGTACTTCTCCCCCTGAGTGTTGGTAATACTTTGCACTACGATGACAACCTGTAAGCGGCAGTAAACACAGAAAGCATACATTACTGTGTGTGTGTGTGTGTGTGTGTGTATGTGTGTGTGTGTGTGTGTGTGTGTGTGTGTGTGTGCGCGTGTGTGAGGAATATTTGTGTTTTCATGCAGAGCCACGTTTCAGTGAAGACTCAGCCAGCCGAGCATTCCTCTGCAGAACGCTCTGTTTCTTCCTCCAACCTTTAAATCACATCAGTGTCTCACACACACTCACACACACACACACACACACACACACACACACACACACACACACACACACACACACACACACACACACACACACACACACACACACACACACA